ATACGCATGCTCGGCTGCTTGGTGGTGCATTCTGGGAAAACTGTGAAAACTACGATAGATAGACCGTGCGATAACAGTTTCGTTGTATCATTAAATAACTAATATGTTTATTTCTTGTGTTATTGTGTAGGTTACAGTTTAAAGATAACTACATACATGTATTTGTAAATTTCCCCTTTTTGACAGAAAAGCCCATAGTCATTATCTGATTGTTCTAAACAAAGACAAGGGAGGTTTTTACGTCTAAGCACAACCAAAGATCGATAGACTCTGATTTCTGATTGGTCAATTCAGCCAATTTTACAAATTCCAGAAACAAGAATTTACAATAAAAATAACGAATAAATCCGTTATTTATAAAAAAAAAATGTGCATGGCTCTTTAAAACTTAACAGTTCTTGGCAAAGGACCAAGCTTCTTAATTCACCAATCGTGGCTTCTTCACATCTTCACATTCGGAACTCTCTGGATTTCTTTATACAACATACACTTACAGTTATTTCAACATTCCTTTTAACTCCCCTGAATTTTCTTTGCTACATTGCCACGAAATTCTATTCTTAAACCAGTTCATACAATGCCTCAATCTGAATCTTCACCATATTATATAGAGTCTCCCCCTCTCCAGTAAAGGTCATAAATGTTCCGTTGCGCCAAAGCTCCAATAGGTCAACACCCCCCCCCCCCCCCCTCCCTCGTTTCTTTACCTATGTGTCTATAAATGATCACACTCCAGTCTCGAAAAAAATTAAAATATTCAGCAAAATAAATCAGTTGAACACGGACTTTCCTTTCTGTGTTTAAAAATTGCTACGGCGCTAGCTCACCTATCTTTTTTAAAAGATAAACTTGTAAATATATAAATAATATTAGCAGATAATCTTCCGTCGTTATGTTGGTTGTTATCATCAGTGACGTATAACAAGGGGCTTGTTATACGTCACTGTTATCATTGACATATTCCGTATTGCATATGGAGGGCACATTACGCTATAATGAATTTCGTTTAACAAAAATTTAGATAATTCTCAGAAAATTATTATACAGTGACTAATCAATGGCGAATCTTTAGAGATTAATAACAGTACATAAATGAAACTTTCTATGCATTTATTTCTTCTTTTGCAATTTGTTTCGGGTCGTGTCGTTCATTGACTGGACTATAAGACCTGCATAGGCTATTCACTCTTTTTAATTACTATTACCCATTTCATAATTGGATTTAAGCGTACTTATGAGCGTGCTTCGTACCCATTGTATACATAATTGGAAAGCGCTCTTGGTACCCAGTGTATAATTGGAGAGCGTTTTCGGTACCCATGATTGCATGAATGCTGCGCGTCGGGAAATAGTCCTTGTCTTGGGGACTGGAATCTTGCTAATTCCATCAATGATATACTTTTACTGTATAATTAATTACCCAGTATATAATTGAACAAAATGTATTTACGAGCTTAGGGTTATAAGTGATTTATATCAAGTGCATAAATTTAAAATTTACTAATAAAAAAAGGTAAGATAATGATCTGTCTAAAAACAAGAAATGTTTGTGAAACACTGATATCCCTGTATGACAACTTATTTTATTATACTTTCATGTTAAATACTAAAATCTGATTGGTTTAAACGCAGTTAACAATCCGTTCTATTACCTCAGCCTTAGCAACACACGTGGCAACGGGTAACACAACGGTAATGCCACATGCGTGGAAATTATGCGCGTACCGTTCACCGTAGAATTCTCAATCCGTCAGTTGCGCGTTTGAAAGAATCGGAATAAATTTGATGTAAATAAAAGCTTGCGTCTGATGTAGCTTACTTAAAAACAACAAACGACAGACGAAACATGCCTGCGAGTGCTAGATAATGAAACTTTAGATGATAAACGACTGTTAGAGTATCAAATAAACAATAAAGAGGTTAGTAGGTTTTTTCGAAGTAGCGGGAAGTTTGAAAGCTTTCTATAAACGTGAACGTAAAGACAATCGACGATTTTTTTGCAGACATCTTTTAATCAAAAATGACATTCAGTATAATAAAATAAATGGTACCTGTTTTGGAGGGTAACAGTATATAAATGGTGCCTGTTTTGGAGGGTAACAGTTGAAATTGACACCCCAAGGAAAACCATTGTCAACCTATGCGTCAGCGGAGGTTGACAATGGTTTTCCAAGGGGTGTCAATTTCAACTCTTACCCTCCAAAACAGGCACCATTTATTTTATTATACTGAATGTCTTCTTGATTTACTATGTCAGCAATACAAATCGTCGATCGCCTTTTCGTTCACGTTTAGAAAGCTTTCAAACTCCCCGCTTCTTCGAAAAAGATTTACTGACCTCTTTATTGTTTATTTGATACTCTACGAGTCCTTTATTATCTAAAGTTTCGTTATTTCTGCACTCGCAAGCATGTTTCGTCTGTCGTTTGTTGTTTTCATGTAAGCTACATCTGACGCAAGCTTCTATTGACGTCAAGTTTATTCCGGTTCTTTCAAACGCGCAACTGACGTTGTGAAAATTCTACGGTGAACCGTACGCGCATAATTTCCATGCATGTGGCATTACCGTTGTGTTACCCGTTGTCACGTGTGTTGCTAAGGCTGAGGGTAATAGAACAGATTGTTAACTTCATCTAAACCAATCAGATTTTAGTATTTAACATGAAAGTATAATAATTGAAATTGACACCCCTCGGAAAACCATTGCCAACCTCCGCTGACGCGTCGGTTGACAATGGTTTTCCTTGGGGTGTCAATTTCAACTGTTACCCTCCAAAACAGGCACCATTAATATAATAGTGGGTCAAAAATCAAGGTCAAGGGTCCAAATTAATGGTCCGCAGGGGAAGACGGGGGCATAAAAAGGTAAATGTGATAACATCAATCAGCAAATCAGACATAAGTCATTAGTTCTTCTTACCAAAAACAGATTCCTCTTTAGTAGACGTAAAATGAGGAGTGCAGGTCGTGACTCTTGGAGACTTAAGTCTTTGTGTTGTCTCTGTTTTGGTACACGTGTCACGGCGCACTGCTCTGTGCTTAAAGTTGACCCTAGCCAACCACTCCATCTGTAAAGGTTAATTACAACGTGACTTTTCATTTTTATTTACTTTCACAGGAATAAGAATCAGTGTAAGGGGGGGGGGGGGGGGGGGGAGGGAGTGGTTAATCCATCCAAAAGAATTTAAAGCATTTATATTTACAAAGAAAGTAACTATATAACAAACATGACATTAAAACATCACAGGAAATTTTAAAATTTAATATTTAATTTAAATAGAAAGAATGTGAACACGAATTCAAATAATCTTAATTAACAGACACCCCCACCAACCCGCTAATCAAAAATCGGTATTACTAAGGTAATCCCAAAACCTCAAATCTTCAAACACAATCAAAGGCATACAAAATACTTTAATTCGATCTTCTTGTGTAGGAAGGAGGGTAACTTTTCAGAATATTTATATTTTTGTTGAATTTTTAGTGGATAATTTTTTTTCTTCTTTTTAAAGAAAAAAAATAACACCCCTGATTCACTAGTCAAAGAGATGGGAAGAATTAACTATCTAAAATAACTACCATAAGATTAAGAATTTGAATTGAAAGATATAACATTAACCTGGTGCGTAGGTTGTGGTATGGTGGGAAGTTCCCTACGCTCCTCAGACCTATTTATAGCACTGGTCAATGTACGCTAAAAAAATAAAGAAGCCATGCATTATACGATATTAATCCTCTTCACTGGGAGGGGGGGCGGAGGAGAGGTTACTACTGAAGACGAGGGAGAGACAGCCAGAGAGAGAAATGATAGGTTATCACTGAAGATCGATATGAGAAAGAGACAGAAATGACAGAGGTTACTACAAACAGAAAGAGAGCGACAGAAAGACAGACAGACATACTTACAGCAGATTTAGCCGCCAGACAGTGAATAAAAATGTTGCATTTTAATTTATTTATATTCATTTATCTCTTTATTTATACCGCTAGCAAGCACACCGGACCGAATTATCCTTTATTGACATGAATGGTATTACATGTGTATCGTGTTGGTTCTTATATGTAATACTATACTATAGTAAATGTTCAACAAAATATTTCTTAACGTAATCGATGATAGGAGACAGCTTCCTTTTTTAAGATCAAGGAGGGTTTAAAAATGATCTTTGTACGAAGTGCAATCATACCCGAATCGCAATTCTTTATCTATCAGGATATGTTTTGTTATTTTATATGTAAAAAATCCCCTTTCTACCTCACCGAAATCCCCGATTTACATTCCCTATGCGGACCCCCCCCCCCCGTTTCCGACGCCTATGCACTTAGGTTTTGCATATTACATGGCAAGCTGAGAACAAGAAATTTGTTTTTAATTTAATGTTTTCCTTATGATACTAATGATACGTGCGTTGAATATGAAGTTACAAGATATTATTACATGCAACGGGGAAAAAAGGTGTTCCCCCTTTTACAGAAATGGTAAAAGGTGTTTTATTATGAACGAAAAAGATTTTCATGGGTAAATATTTAATTTTTTGATGCATTATCCTCTTAGACACACTCTGGCTTTTTCTCTCTGAAGATCTCTGCCTTTTCATTGTGATAATTGCAATTTGTATCGCTGTACGAAAAACACGTCTACTCTCTATCGAGAAAAGTGAGTAACTAACTGCGGTAACCACAACGCAACCCTCCCTAGTAGTATCCAAGTGTGACGTCATCTCTATTAGCAACACATAAATCAAAAACGTAAAAATAAATTGCCAAATTTGCTTACCTTTTATCTCGTCCTGGGTAGACTTTACTTTACCGGTCCCCAGATCCGCAAGATCCTCGCGCTCATTGGACTATGACGTAACAACTACGTCACTCAACTGAAATGGGTTAAATTTGCACACTATTCGACTGATTATGGTTAGTCTTGCACCCACCTGAGAGATTAGGGTTAGTCCTTGCACTAGTATTCGACTGATTAGGGTTAGTCTCGCGTCCATCCGAGAGATTAGGGTTAGTCCTCGCACATTATTCGACTGATTAGGGTTAGTTTAGCATCCGCCCGGGAGATTTCGTCTGAACTTCTTAGTCTTTGCATACCATACGATGGATTAGGGTTAGTGAATCGTTCTTTTAGTTAAGTTAAGAAATTCAGTTGTTTCTGTAATTTTTCCAAGATCATAATTCAGATTCATAGGCATTTCCTTCGTTTGTTTACATGGAAGATTGGCTAAGTCCGAAAGAAATGACACTAAGCATGCGCCGCACGCGCTTCGTTCAGAATTATTCTTTGTCAATTTTTTCCATGAACAAACAACTTCGGCGACATTACATTTTAGCGCGTTTTTCTGGGGACCGGTAAAGTAAAGTCGTTCCCTCGTCCTTTTTAAATAGATAGTTTTCGATTGACCAAGAGTTACTTCCCGTTGGCCGCCATACTGGAGGTCCAAATGCTCATATTCCTTCATTGTTCAACCAATTTAAAATTTTTATATTTGCTATTTTGAATTAGAAATCATTATTTTTCTGAAGTATATAAATTTTGGGAAGCCTCCTTTATTTAAAAAAAATTATTTGATAAAGATTTTCCACCAAATATTTCTGCTATATTTTCTTAAACTTGGTAAGACAAAGAGGGAAAATCACTGAGTCGACCTCCAATATGGCGGCCAACGGGAGGTAACTTTCGCTAAATTCAGGCCTATCGAAAACTATCTATATTTTGATATTCCGTTTGAACTTTAAAAAAAATAAATCTGAAATGGGAAACTAAATGCGATATGGCGTCATAATCGAAAAGCGTCATCAGATCTCAATCGGTAATCTTCGGCTAACTTCGCATATATATGGCACGCCAAATTCACAAAAATGAGATAAACCTAGTTTCACAATTGATAAACTAGGTTTATCGACTGTAAACTATAGTTTACAAACCGTAAACTATAGTTAACGATTCGTTAAGTATAGTTAACGATTCGTTAAGTATAGTTTTCATCTGTAAAACTATATTTAACGGTCGTTAACTATAGTTTACGAATGCTAATCTAAGTTTATCTGTCTGAATAAAGCGTTAACAATAGATTTTGTTGATAAACATAGATTCACGTTTGTAAACTATAGTTTACAATCGTAAACTATAGTTAAGAGTTGTTAATTATAGTTTCACAAATCGTGAAACTATATTTATCAGATCGTTAACTATAGTTAACGGTTTGTAAACTATAGTTTACAAATCGTGAAACTGTATTTATCAGATAATCTATGTTTTGCGATCGCAAATGATTGTTTTCGATGTTAAGTATAGTTTACGGTTGTGAAAGTGAAGGTACAAGGGCAAACTAGTGTATTATTTATCGAGAAACTGCAAATTTATATTACGCAGAGTGTATACATACGGCGCGGATCTAAGAAGTCTGATTTTAATTAGATTGTTGCATTGTCTATTCATGAAGAAAGGAATGTTCCGTTGGTATGTTTTTCCTGTACATTTTATTATCGTGTTTTGTGAGCCATCATGGTAAAATTTAGCATATTATTTCATCCTAAAGTATCTCAGTAGCAATGACTTCATGCTATTTTGCCATTTTGCAAAAAACTGTCTAATAAAAGAAAAAATAATACATGATAAAATGTCGATTGTGTTCAGTTCCCTCCACTTTTCATTATCAACAAAGAAATGTATATTGAATAAAAGGGGGAGGGTTCCGTTAGATTTGCTCCACCCAAAATTTCACAAAAATACACTTGAGCGGATCTAGTTTTTTAGTTCACCTGAGCCGAAGGCTCAAGTGAGCTTTTCTGATCACATTTTGTCCGTCGTCCGTCCGTCTGTTAACTTTTCACTTTTTTGACTTCTTCTCAAGAACCACTGGGTCAATTTAACCAAACTTGGTACAAAGCATCCTTAGGTAAAGGGGAATTTAAATTCAAATTGTTAAAATAAAGGGCCAAGACTCCTCACAAGGGGAGATAATAAAGAAAATACAAAAATAGGGTGGGGTCATTAAAAAATCTTCTTCTCAAGAACCACTGGGCCAGAAAAGCTGAAACTTATGTGGAAGCATCCTGGGGTAGTGTTAAATCTAAACTGTTCAAATTATGACCCCCGGGGGTTGGACGGGGCCACAATAGGGATCCAAGTTTTACATAGAAATATATAGTAACAAACTTTAAAAATCTTCTCAAGAACCACTGGGCCAGAAAAGCTTAAACTTATGTGGAAGTATCCTGGGGTAGTGTAGATTCTAAATTGTTAAAATTGTGACCCCCCCCCCCCGGGGGGACCAAGGTCACACTAGGTATTACAATGGGGAAATTGGGTAAAGAACGACATCACCAATGCTACTCAGTTGAGCGATGTGGCCCATGAACCTCTTGTTTTTTCTCGGAAGGGGATTGGGTCTACTATTGTATTTGCTGATAGGTCATTGTATCAACCATAGAACTTACGAAATGATGACTTAAAGTTTGTTTCATCAGCTTGTTCGTCAATAAATTACCTCGATAGGTTTTGAAATTCTTCACACGAAGACCATTCTCTTGCGTATTGAATCAACTGAGAGATATAAATCCCATATGCAGGTATTTTGCTATATTGCTGCATACCATTAATGTCTTTTTCTAGGAAAATATCCAAATAGGCCCCAGTATATACTAGTACTCAGTACGAACAAATGTGACAGACTCTGTAGCAGTGTACGAAACTCGGAAAAAATTCAGTTGGACCAGCAGGGCTGACTACTCAAAAAGTCTGTCAGCCCTGCTGAAAATTAGCAAGCCCGCATAATAAAATTCAATATTAAGGGTACGCACACTCAGACTTGTACATTTTTTCACATCCACTTGAATTTCACACACAGTAATTACTAAGATTAAAATTTTATTCATTCAGTCAGCGTTTACTTCATTATAAAGTTATAGGAAAAATGAAAAAATTCACTATTAATTGCTAATCTGAAATACATTTCCTATGTTGTCATTTTTTTCCTTCTAATTAGCCGGGCTTATTGCTCAAAGAGCAATTGCCGGCTTATGTGATCCTGTTCAAGGCAGGATGTTGACCCCATAGTCGCCATTTTAAAGTTACGTGCAAAAATATAGTTCTTTCTCTCAACCGCTTTTGAGAAAATACAAACGCTAAATAAAGGAACAAAAATAAAACGAAGTTTTATCTATATAAAATAAACATTAGTAGTAATGACTCTGAAAACTTCATAAGTCAAAGAACATAGTTCATTAGCGTAAGGATTTTTGATAATCAGTGTTACCGTAGTTCTCTACACATACGAGGTAGAGCAGGAGAGGGAACCAGACTGGCCTGTTTGTTTACATTCAGCTGCGCGGTACCAGATTAATTCTGATTCTGACAAAATTGGACCGTGGTATTAGGATTGAAAAATTCACTGTCAGTGTCTTATCATTTATATTGATAGTTTTAAAATAATTTTTTCATCAGAATATAAACGTGATTCATGTAAGAAATCCATTCTACTCTGTAAATCAGCCCGGCTCCCTGTACTTCTGAGTACTTTGATTTTTACATTTGAAATACATTGATTATAAGATATCATAGATACTTGTAACAGGTCATGATAAATATTTAATAATATCAACGTTTATAGGTATATTCACATGTATATTTTAGATGTAATAAGTAAGTGTTTGATTTTAAAAGAAAAGAAAAAATACAATTTTTAATTTCTCAGTACTTAAGAGCAAATTTTAACACTCATTATAATTAATTTACAATTTGAATTTTAAAAGGGTAAAAATATATTGTGGTATGATTAAATATAACCTAAGTTTATTTTTGATTTAATAAAAACAAGAATCGGTTAAAGCAACCATTGAATAAAAGCACACCCTGTTACACTTAGATTGTAACCAGTTGAACAGTGTTGAATAATTTAGTACACTGGCTTTGTCTTTATAA